TCTGCATTACTTTTCTTTTCAAATGTCTCCGATTTCTTGGTGTTATTTCGTTTACTGCATATAATAAATTTCTTTCGGCACAGTATTGCATTTCAACAGTTTCTTTTGCGGCCATCCAAACAAGCGATTTCTCTTGTCATCTTCATAATCACTGCACAGAAAATGTTCGCAGCAAATTCTTGAGTTTTTCACATTATTAGAATCCTGCCTTCGACATTTATGTATCCATTCTTTCGTCAAAAGCAAATGTCCTTTGGGAAGCATGAAATACAAATCTCTTCCTTCGTATTTCTATACGTTACGGCACGTTGTACACAAGCACAAGAAGCTATTACTAAGATAAGGAAACTGACTAAACTACTTATATATATACAATTTTAAATTTTGCATATTAGAAAACAAATAGTATGAGTAAAATTAATTTGGGATTGCGACCTCCAAAATAGTTTCGCAAGTGAATGCAAGTACAGTTTAACCGCGAAATCAGTAGTGCAACACGACCGTCATTACTTCCAACCACCCCCATGGCTCGCTCGGCGAGGGTCGAACAAGAAATAACCAGCCCTTCTATTTATCCCTGGGTGTCTACTGTATTTTATTTCGGGTACCACCAGGAGCGAATGGGGCTATCGCGAATTTGGAAAATTTCCCGAGGAGGCGGAATTATAAATCGTAATTGCAGGATTCATTCAACGAAAAGAAATAAACTCATTGGAAGACAAATTTTTAATAACACGAAGAAAATAAATATATAAGAGTAAAAATAAATAAAAATTTCGAAAGATAAACTAATGCCAAACATATTAAAATCATCGTCTTAACACCGTCACAAATTCATAACCGATGGATCTGATTTCTTTCTCTCCATAGCATAAAAGCGGAGAATTTTCATGTCCCGTCATCCAGACGATTTTATAACGATGCCGGCATCTTAATTCAAATAAGCCACTAGGATATTCGCCTGGGTATCTTGATGAATGTTGCATTCTTCATGGTATAAATCGAACCCCATAAAGCCAACGGATATCCCTTTGCGTTCTCGCTAACAGTGGGCAAGCTGCAAAAAATGTGTCGGCACCTTTCTTCAAGTCGGCGTCTATTTACTTAGATCTTCAGTAGAGCATCCCGACTTGATGAAGGTTGCATTCTTCATGGTAAATTGAACTTCATAAGGGTCCCAAGCACCTTTTGGGTCTTGGCAAACAATGGCTAAATAATAACAACAACAACAAAGATGCCGGGAACAACAACAAAGATGTCATTCTAGTCTATGATTATTTAATTAGATTTTCACGTGACGTCTTGGCATCTTGGGGAAGGTTTCATTCTTCATGGGTCCGAGGTTCGAATCCCGCGAACGGGCTGGCTGCATGGGCGTTTTCTTGGTTTCTCCCATGTGTAACGAACATACTAGCCAGTTTCACTTAGAAAGTCCTCCACGAAGGCATCTCTTCCCTTAGGCAGATTGCCCTCGAGGCTTTGCCAGAATGGTAGAAAGTCAACTTCATAAGGATGCCAAGCACACTTTTTTTCTTAGTGAACAGCGGTCAGCTTTCAAAAGGGGGCCGGCACCTTTTATAAAGTTCGCGCTGGTAAATTTTAAGGTAAATTTGAGGGGGGGGGAGAAAGCTGTAAAGTATAAATAAGTTTATAAATTTAAGGTTTATTCTACTTGATATGCATGTATTATTTATATTTGTTAATGTATAAATTATTATTATTATATTTGATAAATATACTTTCGAAAGGTTTCTGCTGATTATCGCTTCACTTCATGATACTTAAATGTAAATTTTATCTGCCATTTCGAGTCATGCGATTTCAACTTAGCTGTTCTTTGTCAAGATTTTGTTTTTATTATTACAGTGTAACCCTACACATGAGGTAAAAAACGCGAGGGATTCTCCATTGGTAAGGAATTCTTGATTCTCCTATCATCTCTATATCCTTCTAATTATTATCCAGTCAATGAAAATGTATTTTTCCGGTGAGAAGTTATGAGGCCTCCCGATGGCGGAGTGGTTAAGATTGGAATCCGAGTGGAATACTGGAAGTTCAATCCCAGGCGAACTGGCTGACTGCATGGTTATTTTTCGTAGTTTTCCCCATGGGTAACGTGTTGTGTTCATATTACGTGGAAGAATGATTGCCAGAGCCTACTCGAAAGAGAGGCTGGACCTTCTATTTCACTCCAAATTTGAGGGACAGCACCCCAAGGGTCTCCTACCGCTCTCCGTTTCCACCAAACCACACGAGAGGATTTACGGTTCGCCGCATATTTAGAATGCCCCATGCCGCACGGACACTATACATTTACAGGCATCCGTGTCTTCTCAGGGAATGGAGCCCAGGCCCATCGGTACTGTAGTAGGCTTCCCTAACCACTATACCGTCTGGGTGACAAGGCATCCGTTTCCTCAGGAATATAATCCTCGTGCGCTTTGCCGTATTCAGAATGAACAGGTCTAACCTAAGTCTTTTCTTATTTCTATGCGCATAATTTATAGGATTATGGCACTTTTACATTGGAAAATAGTTGTAAAGCAGGTCGTTGTATTTTTAAAATGAGTTAAAATGAGTGAAAAATGGTAAGTTAAAAATGAGTGAACTTTGTAATGTGTGTAAATCAAGTTCAAAAGACTTTTTTTAAATTTTTTATTTTTGGTAAATCTCGTAAATCTAATTTTAAATGCGTTGCAGTTTTCCCCGAATTAAATTTCTGATCAAGGAAGGTAATTTGAAGTGGTTGAGAAAGAAAAACAATTCGATAACTCCTGAATTAAGATGACTGAAAATGTACCCATAACTTCATATTTTTCAAATTACGTTGCGAAATTTTATTTGTTAATTGATCTTGATTAATTTAGCTTTATATTGAAACCAAATCTATCAGCGGGCAGCTTTGAATTTCTTCTTCTTTTTCTTTTTTTAAAATCTGTAATTTGATTGCAGCGTTAAAATGTACATATTTTTGCTCATTATTTGAAATTCTCAAATCTTTAAATTTCCGCTTTCAGAAGGTTTATTAGCAGAAATTCAGTCTAAATCAGAAAAAGGATTTAATATGTAGTTTTATTCTATTTGTGTAAAGTGAATAAATAAAGAAGAGAAAATTTAAAAAATTTCAATTGTGGAATTATTTAGGACATTCGCAATTGTAATAACAATAATTTAAAAAACTGTGGAAAAATATTATTTCTAAAGTCTTTTACTTATTTCAGCTTGACTATAATTTATTTACTTAATAAAAGCCCACGAAGTTGACTAGACAGTCAACAATTGTTTTTGTGTTGACTACAAGCGCTTTATTTCAGCAAAAGTTTATTTCCCCTCCACTTCTTTCTAAATCCCAATAAAAGTTTTGAGTTTTGTTTTTAAAGTTACTATCAAAGACCTTCAAAGATTTACCCAGGCTACCAGTAAGTGTTTTTCTTTCCCCCTTGGCAATATGTATAAATCTTTCCCTCAAAAATATTTATACCTCTGTTTTCCACTGGTCTCTGTGTATGAATTCCTCAAAAGAACATGTGCATATATAAATCTTTTCATCAAAAGTCTTTGTGTTTTCATTTTCCATTGATAACTGAAAAGAATCTGAAGGATATTGTTTGAAAAGTATTTACGCTAAGTTTTTGAAAAAAGAAAAAAAAAAAAAAAAAACTGTAGGATATTGTTATGTTAAAACAAATGAAATAATATTAAAAAAATGCTTTTACATCTTCTGTCCTCGATATAGTTCTTAGCTAATTTTTTTAAATGAATTTCAGTCAAACATTTCTGTGTTTAATCCGCTCGTACTCACCTTATACATTTAACTTAATTATTATATTTAAATCAATATTCCTGATTATCGTGGAGTGTGGTTGCGACGCTCTTCATTCCAGGAATAAATTTTGGGCGAAGGGCATTTGAAATATTAGAATTACCAAGAATTATCACCAGTATGATTTAATCAAAAAAGGAAGAATTGTATTTGTAATGAATAGACAAAAAATCGTAAGTAATTCCTGAGAAATATTTCGGCTAGCGAGGATAAATTGTTTATGAATTCCCAGTTTTCCCTTCTTGGCAATTTTCTTTCATCTCCGGAGGTTCAAGCGGGTGAGTTAGTGATGTCACGTGACCATTTCCCGCGAATCGCCTCTGTGTCGCTTTCTGGGCAATTGTGAATTCGTTTCTAGGACTACGCGCCATTTTACCGAAGAAGAGAGGCCGAAGGGTGGTTTACTGTTCAAATTCCGAATCTTGATTTTTGAGCTTAATTTAATCAAAAAAGATGGAATCTTCGCCTCAAGTTTGTATGGCGGCTGTGGAATTAGAAGTTGGTAATACACCGCTGAGTATTCGGCGTCAGTTTGATCCCGTAGCTCACGGATTAGAGCCTAATTTCAAACTTACTAAATACTCTGAATTAAGAGGATGAGGGTGTAAAGTCCCTCAAGAGATCTTGCACAAGTTGCTTGAGGGACTCGAACAAGATGGAAATTTACAAGATGCTGGAGAACAAGGGCATTTTATGCACATGGCTATTGCGCGACATGGTAAGTTTTATCCTATGATTATAGATTTATGTTTTTAATAACAACGAAAATAAGAGTAGTTATACGAAATATAGTAATAAACTAACCACATTTTTTTTTTAGTCGGGTGGTTATTTTTTTGAAATTTTCGGAATAATATTGAGTTTCAGAGGTGGTGTGCATATGTAAAGTGATATCATATAATATATAAATTTTTATATTATCTCTCAGTTGGAAAGCTACTTTGTGTGTGAAACAGTTTCATTTTGTGTTTTAATTATGCATTTAAAATGTTTGATGTAGAATTATATAAATCGTATCTTTCTTTTATATCCCTCTATTGTTAATGTGAAGTTTTAAATTTACATTTCCAAAATAATGATAAATTGCAGGCATTGGTATGGATTGCAGTATTACTCCCTTAAGGCATGGAGGATTACAATTGGTTCAAACTACAGATCTCTTTTACCCTATATGTGAAGATCCTTACATAATGGTACGTTTATTAATTAATTTAATTAAATTATAGAATATTGGTTATGTGTGTTCCATTGTAAATTTATGAATAGCAGGAAGTATAGTATATACTTTGTGAAGCTAAATGTATTTCATTTGCTGTTAGTTATAATGATTTATTAATAATGATCTGAAAGGAACTAAAGATGAACTGAATATTATTTAATTCTAAATTTGAGCATCAGATTGATTAAAAACAGAAAGGGCGCAGATGACATTACCGTAAAAGTAGTGTCTAATTAATGGCGTTTATGCAAAGTTGGCGATATTCGATGTGCATGAAGGAAAGTGAAGTATAGGAAAAGCTGATTCTTAATGCATAGAATCAATGCATTATTATTTTTAAACTGAAACTTTAGCATTTGTTTTCATTAAATTAAATTAATATTTCTTAGGTTATGAAATACATGTATGTGTACATTCTGGAATTATTTTAATCATGTAACGGTATGTTAGCGGTGTTTTTAATCGCGCTAACACCAGTTGCGCAGGCTGTTTTTTTTTTTTAAAGCTAACTTAAAGGCTTTTTGTAGCATAGAAAAACTATTAAAGTGAAAACTGAACCTTTAACAATTTTCTTCTTGTTTAACAACAACACAAAAATAAAGAAAAAAATGGGAAGTCATTTAAATGTGGAAATTGTTTTGGGCTTAAAATGAAGTGCTTGTAACTTTATAATTGTGCAGATTGGCCTTGAAATGCAGCTTAAGCTATCTTTGTCAGCTTTTCCGTCACTTAATAAATTGCTAATTTTATAAGCGAGAAAAGTTTATATATATGTATATACTATATATTAGTAGATGAAGTTAGAATAAATTCAAGGAAATATATTGTTTAAGTTTTATGGTGTTAGAAACGTCAATTATCTTTTAAAAATGCAAAATGCTTAAAAATTTGAGGGCATTTAGGTCATAGATTTCATTTATTTCAGTGAAGATAACTGTGATTACAGCGATCTGATCTTTTCCTGAGATGATACTATGAACAGTTATTTAAATTTATTTTCTGTTTTTCCAGCACTTACTTAAATTCACTTTACGGTTGATCTTTGGATTATGGTAACTTGACGAAAATTTGGCAACCAACTCTGCTACAGCAACCCTCTATTTTTTTTTTCGCATTTTGTCTTCACGAAGTAAAGAAATGTTGGTTGATCTTTACAATATGGTAACTGGTAGTTTGGCGATATTATGGAGGCGATAAAGGTTACTACCTGGCACTTTGGTAATAATGTGAGCAGTACTCAGTTCCGATTACGCATTATTTTGTGTGAAGGAAATGAGAGATCATGGGATATGTCATGTGATATTAATGGACGAATTACGGTTCTTTAATCGGAAAAGGGGGGAAATCGGGAAAAAATCTGGAAATTTTGTATTTGGCTTTATTCTGTGTTGTGTGAAACAGTGTTCGTGAATTTTTGGATCCCATGGCCATAACTAAAGTGAATTCGAAATGGGTATTTATGTATGTATTAATTTAATGTATGTGCTCATTTATATTTTAAGTAGTTTTTTTGAATTTAATTATATTTTAATTAAATGATAGTTATTTTGTGAATTTTATGTTTGTAGGAATTTGGTATACGTTTTTAGTTGAAGTAAACGTGCATGGAAATAATTTAAATATCTGACACTAAGTATTTGTAATGGTTACGGTATGAATTCGTTGGTGACTGTATAATGTAATAGATGATTTAGAGGTAAAAGTTTTTGGATATTTTATTTATTTTATATGTGGAAATGTTCATATTTGGAAAGGGTAAATACTTTTTCGCGATCAGGTAATTTCATATATGTTCTTTTTACCGGGTTTTAAAGATTGAGAAAATTGTCATGTATTTTCATGAAATTTTTCTAATTTATGAGAAAAAAGCAGTGTACATGGTAGTGAAGAGTGTGCGCAATGCCATTTTTGTGCAATTCTGGGATGTTTTTTTAAGTAAAAATAAGTCGACGTGTACATGGTTTATGTGTATGTGTTATTTTGAAAAACGCGTAAGGAGTATGGTATTGTGCACTTTTCCCCAATTTTGCAGTGAATATTTGTCATGATTAAGCAGTTTTGTTAGATAAAATTTCTAGCATAAGTGTAATTCGGCTAGTAGATTGTTGGAAGAAGTGTTCAGTAGATAAAAAGAAAAGAAACATGTCTTTACTTCGTGAAGACAAAATGGCGGCGGGAAAAAAAATAGAGGGTTGCTGTAGGAGAGTTGGTAGCCAAATTTTCGCCGAAAAAACGCCAAGTTACCATAATGTAAAGATCAACCGAAATGTTTCTTTTCTTTTTATTTACTGAACACTTTTTCCAACAATCTACTAGCCAAATTACACTTATGCTACAAATTTTATGTAACAAAACTGCTTAATCATGACAAATATTAACTGCAAAAGTGGGAAAAAGTGCACAATCGCAAACTCCTTGCGCGTTTTTCAGAATAGCACATACACATAAATCATTTACACGTCGACTTATCTTTACTTTAAAAAAACATCCCAGAATTGCACACACTCTTAACTTTATCCATCTACACTGCTATTTTCTCATAAATTACAAAAATTTGCACGAAAATGCAAAAAAATTCTGTGAATCTTTAAACTTGGTAAAAAGCACATATATGAAATTACCTGATCGTGAAAAAGTATATACCCTTTCCAAGGATGAACATTTCCACGTATAAAATAAATAAAATATCCAAAAACCTTTACCTCTAAACTAACAATTATATTATAAACGTCACCAACGAATTCATACCGCAAACATTACAAATGGTTACAAATACTTAATGTCAAATATTTAAATTACTTCCATGCACGTTTACTTCAACTGAAACGTATACCAAATTCCTACAAACATAAAATTCACAAAATAACTATCATTTAATTAAAATATCACTAAACCATGTACACATCGACTTATTTTTACTTAAAAAAAACATCCCAGAATTGTACAAAAATGGCATCGTGCACACTCTTCACTATATCCATGTACACTGCTTTTTTCTCATAAATTAGAAAAATTTCATGAAAATACTCAACGTATTCTACTCAAACGTATTCCAAAATACTACAAACATATAACTCACAAAATCACGATCATTAAATTAAAATATAATTAAATTAAAAAACACTACTTAAACTATAAATAAGCACATACATTAAATTAATAAAAATTAGATTACAATCCTAATTACTTTAAACTAAATCTTGCTAATAACAATTTTCCAATAATATCATATTAATTTATTTACTCCTTACATTTAGAACAATGCATAAAAATAATATCCTCAAATGATTAAAAATACTAACTTACCTAATCTTCAGAATCTTCATCACGTGGCACGCACACTTCCACTATTTCACACAACACACAATGAACCTAAATAGAAAATGCTATAAAGAACTGCAGATATTTTTTCAAATTTTCCCCCTTTTCCGATTAAACAACTGTAATTCGTCCATAAATGTCACATGACATGTCTCATGATCTCTCATTTCCTCTCACCACAAAATAATGCGTAATTGGAATTGGATACTTCTCACATTATTCCCCAAGTCCTAGGTAGTAACCTTTATCGCCTCCAAAATGTCGCCAAACTACCAGTTACCATATTCCAAAGATCAGCCCACTTTACTTTAAATTAAAAATTTTATATAGCAGTTAGAGACCTAAAGCCCCGTTTTTACAGATTAGTTCGTTATTTGAAGAAGTTCATTTAATGAAAAGTCTTATCCAGTGACATTTTCCAAAAGGAAATCACTTTAAATACCAGAATTGAGTAAAATATTTTTTCCTTCTTAAACTTAACCCTCTAATGCCCACCACAAAAAATTATTTGTTTTTAAAAGATTAAAAATTATTTGTTTTTGTTAAATAAAACAAACATGGCGAAACATTGGGGAAAAAATTATTTTTTAATGATAGCAAATATGCTACTATGGGCAGATTAGGGTACAAATCAAGTGATTTTCAAACATGTTTTTTAGATTTCGTTTAGTTTATGTACAGTTATTTACAAATGATAAGCTCTAAAACAGTTTTTCTCCTTGTTAAAACAAAGATATTTTTCACATTTATTACATTTAACTTGAGTAAATTTTCCTCTAGGGCATATGTGGCATCTTTGCCGTATGGAATTATTACACTGGCCAGTGATGCACACACCATCAATTCTTTGATCCTAAAAGTAATAAATAATTGAAAAACAAATATTTAAGGTTACAATACTTATATATTTACAGCTATGATATCTGTGTTCTTTACAGGTGCTACAGAATAATCAATGGATCCTCTGCCTTCTTTTTTTTCACTTTCTTCTCGTTCTTTAATTTACATTTCATTAGCCTGTTTTCTCTCGAAGTCCCAACAAATCCTATATTTTTCTTGGATAATTCATATATTAATGGGATTGCAGAGAAAACATTATACGCAAAGATAGTAGTTTTTGTTGGGTTACTTAGAGTGCTGCATAACTGCATCATAACACCTGCTCCTAGACCTATATTTGTAGGCAGTTTGATCTCAATAGTAAACTTCAGATTTTCCAGTGTAAACATCAAAATCGTAACAAATGCCTGATTGTCCACACTGGGCCCACGTTTTTAAATCCCGTTTGCTATGACGTTTTTTTAGGCATTTATTGTTTGATATGGATTGTCCCACGAAATGGAATCATTATTTCGTCAATAGACTGCTTGGTCTCACCTGGAACGAATAACATGTTTTTCTCGAAGTCTAAACTAAACAACCACGGTCGCATTTTCCAGCATTTGTCTCGTCTAACATCATCATCAATTTGTGAATTATCCGCAATATGCAAAAATCTTAAGATTTTTTTCAAATCTGTTTCTAGACATTACTTCTGTAATTGGTTCATACTTTATTCCCTCTTCTCAATAGCCTCTAATATGAGGTATATGGTCCATTTGTATTACTTGCTCTATTTCATTTGCAGTCACCATAAGAGAAGTTCCTGTTTGT